AATAAGGTGGCATCCATTTAATAATTAAAATTAAAATTATAATTTACACTCAATACGTTATTATTGTATACTGTTTTATAATGTACTACAATACTGAAGTGCAGATAATTGCCTCTATTTGCAAAAAGCAGTATACTTGATAGTAGAAATCCTGCTATTTTAACAGTGTAAATAGGTATTTGCACTTAGCGTAAATAGAATCCATTGCTAATACGAGATTTGAAAAGGGAGGGAAAAAAAGTTTGGCAAAAGGCGTTATCGAACCCGGGTCGATCGCGTCAAAAAGCCAACAACACACGCTTATCCATCTGCACCACAGGAGCTGATGAATTACAAATTTGTTATTTTGTTTTCAGAATTGTGATCTGCTTTGCACTTCTCGGCCACCGTAGAAAGAGATGAAAATGTTTTCACTTAGAAATAATGAAACGCAACATCTGAAAGAGAATCTAAGAGACATATTTTAGTTGTTATCATCGTTAGAGGTTTTTGCTAAGTGTTATGGACCCTGAATGATCCTGCAAATTGTGCTGCTTGAGTAGAGGTGAAAGAAAAGTATAAGGTCATGTTTCATGCATATTCAATCAATACAGCCAATTGGAGTCTACATACACTATAATGAGGAAAAAAATCCATGAACTGATGAGTTGAGCTGAAGGACAGAATTCCAGGTAGCCTTGCTGATGAACTCTTGAGTACATCTTTCTGGAGGTTGTAAGTTCATGAAAGCTCTTACTTTGTGGCTGACTCAACACACAGATATAAAGAGCTCTCTATTATAGGGATGCACAAATACAATTCCTGAACTGATACTGGCACTGATACTGACATTTTTAAACGGATCAGGCATCGGTCAAACGTAATTAATTAAAAATAGTGTGTTTTAGTCATAAAAACGTGAATTTGTGCTCTATATATTTCAAGTTTAACAGGGACAGTTATCTCTGTTAAAGAAATTTTACTATTTTTAAAATGTTATTTATTCCTGTGATGGTAAAGCTGAATTTTCAACAGCCATTACTCCAGTCTTCAAAATAGTTAGGCTGCTTATATTTTTTTGTGAAAACCATGATAAGATTTAACGATTCTTCAATTAATAAAAAGTTCAAATTTAAAAAAGAACAGCATTTATTTGAAATGGAAATGTACAGCATTATAAATGTCTACTGTGATTTTTGATTGATTTAATGCATCCATACTGAATAAAAGCATTCATTTATTTAAAAAAAATCAACTTTAGACGGTAGTGAAATTATCATTTTTAAGTGTAGTTTTGTCCAAAATGACGCACTTATTCAATGCACTATGTACTCAACCATCTTGAGTTTGAATTACGTATTTTGTCATTCATCATCGGAGTCTGACAGCCCCCCTCCCATCTGCTTTACGGAATTAAAGTTGCGACAGTTGAGTACACAAAATCTCAAACATTCCACACTTCTTTCGTTAAATAAGTGCATTATACAGGCATTTGAAGTGCAGTTTTTTTTTTTTTTTACATTTTCAATGTGAACACACTAATCTCAGTATTTACACTGAGAAACTTCATTTAATACTGCATAAGTACACAAATTGGGTTACACCTAATATTTTAAGAATATGAAGAAATGCCACATGAAAACAAACAAAACAACAACATACATCATCAGTGAGAGTGCATTGCCAAGTCTGAATTAAAGATCACTGATGCAATAAGAGCAAATAAATGGTGTCTAAACTCTTACTGATCAGCCTCATTTAGAGTGTAGTGTGTATTGATAGGCAGAGACTCTATCAAGCTCTGTGTGTGTAAATGTGTGTATGAGACAGAGACTGTAGGGGTTTATTTGGAGCTCTGCTGTCCCCGATGTCTCAGCAGCATGACAAAGGTTTCCATGGAGATGGCATGTAAAGTCTCACAGCTTGGGTTGCCAAGTTACTTCC